GTTGAGTCAATGAAATAATGACTGTATGACATGCATCATATACATATATGACTCCAGGTGTGCCGCTGAGGCCGCATACCGGTGATGTAACATGCTAACAAGGTGTACCTTAGGGTCACCGACAGTTGTGATATGCTAACCAGGTGTACCTTAGGGTCACCGACAATTGTGATATGCTAACAAGGTGTACATTAGGGTCACCGACAGTTGAATAAGCTAACAAGGTGTACCTTAGGGTCACCGACAGTTGTAACCAGGTGTACCTTAGGGTCACCAGTGATGATATGTGAAACTTCCGTATGGCGCCACATGCATGCATTTATAAGTTGAGTCCATGATATCATTGCATAATAAATGAGTATATATGTAATATTGATGATGTATGTGTATTGTTTACATGTGACTTGTATTTGTTGTGTGTGGGTGCTATCTAACCTTTATGTCTTCACCTAAAACTGAGTGAGAAGTTTCTCACTCCCTTGTTGTTTTTGTATATGTTTAAATTATGTTGCAGGTGAACATCATGAGGATGTTGGTGATGAAGCTTAAGGCTTCATTTGGGCATGCTCTTATAGGATGTGACATCAGGCATAACTAGGCTTGTTTTTGGGATGTTATTATTTTAAAAGCTTTAATTTTCTCTTCTTTTGTAATTTTGAACATTCTTCAAAAAAGACTAAAATGTACATCTTTGTCATACTATTTTATTACATGATTTGAAAGTTATAAATTAATTCCTAACTAGGAGGCACTGCCACCTTCACTGGAATTAATATATATTTTCCTTTATATAATTTCTTGAGTTTTAATACTTATATGTTGATTTTTTTTTATGATTGATGAGTTACGAATGTGAATCTTCTACCTTATGATATTTGAGATAATTATTTTATCCATGAAAGATGTTAACTATGAAAGATTTTATTTACACAAAAAGGAAAAAGAAACAATATTTTGTGTATTTATGTTGGGGTAGAGGGTGTCACGTAAACAGGATATAATCCTCACTCGGGTTTACTCGGATGATGTCACTTACACAATTGGAAGTCCAGATCCACCGTCAGGTATAGCACAGCTAGGTACGGGCTTACCACGACCTTGACATGCATAACCAAGTCAATTGTGGAGTTCGCCCACCGACTATCTGCAAGGATCCACGCACCTTCCCGAGTACTTGGTTAAGGGAATAACCCTCGACCTCATACCCCGCTCCAACACTAGCTAAGGACTTAGAGGAGACTCACCCAACCCAGTGGCCTATCTGAGCACCACTCTCCCAAATCCAGTGGCCTCCCAGAGCACCACTCTCATATATCAGTGGCCTATCCAAGCACCACTCTCAAGAGACTCTATGTGAGCTCTTCCAGTTCGAAAATATTTTTCCTCTCCTCAAGTCCTAGGCTAGACTCATGCCATAGGCATCACATGCAATCATGCATCATACATCATAATGGTCTGCCCACCATCATGATCAACA